AGCGGCTTTTGCTGCGGTCGCGCGCCCCGCCCCGTCACTTTATCCCGGAGCCACGAGGAAGGAGGCGGGACAGCCTCCGCCGGATATTTACATATTGAGCCAGTGCGCGCGAGCGCCACCGACCTCCCGCCTGCAGCCTCGGGCTCCTCTCTGGGGTCCCCGGACTGCGGCCACTGCGCCACTGGGAAATGCGCAGGCATTCCCTGGGGAGCAGACTTTAGGGACAGCAGCGGGAAAGAAGGACATTTTCACTTAAAGTTTTGGCAGATTTTTCCCGAGTCACTACAAGCGTCGGCTGGACTCAGTGGGAGTTATGGAAAGCACAAGACAGCCCCACAATTTAGCAGAGCAGAACAAAAAGGGAAGATAACCAATGTGAGTCAGAAAGAGCGAAAAGGACGTGGGGCAAACCACCACCGCGTCCCCACCTCCATATCTTCATGCCCTCACTGCACACAAACTGTTAGCCAAATTCAGTCATTAACAGGATCTGTGGGTATTACCTGTTCCGAAGTGGTACCAAGAACCTTGGAGTAGTGGGCTGAACTGTGTTCTCGCATGTTTTTGGAACACACCCCCCCCCATGGGGATATATTTGCCCCCAGTTGCCAAGAAAACAGCATAATCTCAATCTCTCAGTCTCTCTCTCTCATTAGATCATGATGTTAGCTCATCATTGAATCCTTTTAATCTTTGAAGTCTAGTCCCAAGGAATTAACATGTCAATGTTTTTGTTTTGCTTTCTATCTAAGAATTCATTTTCTTGGGGGGGGGGGAGAAAACTTGAGTGCATCTTTCGCTGTGGGCAACATCTTTAGTCCTTTCTAGGAAAGATCAAAATCTTAGAATTGTTCTTTGAGGAGGTAGGGGAGTGTGAGAGAACATACTCCTTGAGATTCGCAGGCGACTAGACTGCACGTGATAACAACGTAAAAGTCAAACTCATTACCAGTCTGGCGGAGCTGATTTTCCATTTTGTTTCAGAGGCTATAAATCCGCAGGGAAGGAGATTACCTATCTTTCTCCCACGGAGTCAGTAGTGGACTCAAATCACCGGAAAGGTGTGGCTTTGGGGTTAGCACAACTTTCCATGGGCAATACCCTCACTGTTCCCTACATAAAACTAGTCGTACTATCTATTAACTTATTTTTGCATATACTTTAAGATCTTTGTAAAGTAACTCAATTTCATGGAAGATTCAAATGATAACCGTCTATGCTGGAATGAGAATCCCCGGATGCATAACAGAAAGGTGGCTTTAAGGTCACAGTATGATGTACTGCCATCCTATTGTGGTTCTGGAATCGACAATCTGGAACTCCCAGCACCTGCATGCTTTGCATCATTGTTGTTGGGACACTAATGTGCATTAGTCAGACCTTGCAACATCCGTTTGAGGGAGTACACCTGAAACCCAGGGATGAGGAAACTTTATGTGCACACAGAGGTTAAGCAGCTATTCCAGGGAAAGAATGGCCTGCTAGGTCATGGAATGGTCTCTATTCTTGGACTTGATTCAATATTGCCTTTAGTCATCTAGGCAAAGGGAACAGAATCGAGGCAGAGAGAATCCAGGCAAAAAGAACAGAATTATAGAGCATATGGTACATCTCATTTTATAAACAAGTGTAAGAGATGCCCACAGAAGTTGGGTAAGTCGCCCAAGACCACACAATTGGTTAGTGACAGAGCAACAAGTAGAACTCAGGCCTCTAACTCCTAGTCCTGTGTCCTTCCCACTGCTCATAGCAATCCTACAGGACTGAGGTGTTTGTTTGTTTTTTTGTCTTTTCTTTCTGTTTTGCTTTCTGTTACAGTCAATTTTTCTTTAGCTTTCAAATTTCAGAATTGTTCATCTGGCTGCTGAGAGTTTGGGCGACACATTTAGAAGTTGTCCCTGATTTATGCCATTATTTTTTCTGTAAGCATGGTTTCCACCAGCTAGATTCATGAGAAGGAAATATTTTAAAAAGTCAAAGTAACTCCTGGACATCTGGTTAAGAAAACTATTTGTTAGTAGCTCTCACTGCCATGTAGTCGGAATCACGCCATATCTGACCCTCCAGTTTGTTGATGTTTTCAGAAAACGTAAAAATAACAGTAAAAATAAAAATTAAAACAAAACAAAAAAAAGTAAAATATTCTTCAAATCTGAAATCTTTCTGATCTTAACAATAAAAATGTCTCAAAACACCACATAACATGGATGAATCTACAGGATATTATGCTGATCAAAATTGCTGTTCTTGATTGTCTTTGAGTCAAAAACGACTCATAGCAACCCTGTGAACAAAAGGCCTGAAGCCTTTCTATAACTATCGACATTTATCAAAGTTCCAGAGTTTCCAAAGGCATGTTGTTTAGGAAGTGGATGACCAAGTATTATGTAAGACCACTATTATAAAAAACTAAAGAGAAGTTTATACACACATTCTTGGAAAGAGTGGTAGAGAGGAGTAAAATCTAATAAAGAGATAAAAGATACTAATGCTGTCAGGGACCTTTCCAGAGTACTGAGAAGCAATGATGTCAGTCTAAAGACTAAGATGTGCCTGATCCAGTCCATGGTCTTCATAATTACTTGCTATGCAGCAGAGAGCTGGATAATGACTAAGGATGTCAGAAGAAGAATTGATGCCTTTGAGTTGTGGTGCTAGAGAAGAGGCTTGAACATACTATGGACTGCCTAGAAAATAAATAGATTGGTCTTGGAGAGAGTGAAACCAAGTCTCTCCTTGGAGGCTAGGATTTTGAAGCTCTATTTCACATACTTTGGGCATGTGGCCAGGAAGGACCAGTTCTTAGAGAAGGACATCATGCTCAGAAGGGTGGAGGGACAGTGCAGGAGAAGAAGACCCCAGATGAGATAAAGTAACTAGGACAATAGGTGTAGGTGTCTTGGAGTCAGTGAGACTGGCTCAGGACAGGGCAGGTTTCAGAGCTATTGTACATAGGGTCACTATGAGTCACAGGCAACTTGACAGCACATAACAATAACAACAAGATGGTTAAAGGGAAAGGCAGGGATGATTAGACATCATGAGTATTGTAATTAATGTTACAAACAATATAAGTATGAATGAATGACAGTCCAGTATATTTTGTAAACTTTAATAAAAATGACAATTTTTAAAGTTATTTGAAAAAAGTAAAATCTTTCTGATATCTCACATTTAAATAAAATCGATGTTTTTGAAACAAAACAATTAATCTTACTGAGTTTTCACATCTAATATTTCCTCCTAAATTGATAATAGTCAAGCTCTATTAGCAGAGGTAGCTTAAATTTTTCAACTCTTTCCCACAAAATAAAAGTCATTCCATGTTTCTTAAAAATTATTTATGAGGGAGCTCTGGTGGCCTAGTGGCAAGAAGCTGCACTGCAATCCCAGAGGTACACGGCTCGAATCCACCAGATGCTCTGCTGAGAAGGAGAGGCCCTCTCCTCCTGTACAGGTCAGATCTGATTTGACAGTACACACACACATACACACACACACAAAAAAAAAA